CGCATGCAAGCACACACACTTCACTGTTTGACTATTTCACAGTGCAAATATCAAGACCTCGCTCTTGTTTAATCAGCGTGCATGCACATAGGCAGGTGTGTGCATTAGTATACGTGCGCTGTTAATGTGTGTTCCTGGATGCTAATGTGTGTTTAACCCTGTGTTTGCTTTGTAGAGCCCCAGCTGAAGGGCATCGTCACCCGGCTCTACTGCAGACACGGTTTCTACCTTCAAATGCTACCAGATGGCACCTTGGAAGGCACAAAGGACGAAAGCAGCTCCTTTTGTAAGTGAACAATCAGACACACAGAGATGTGGTCAGCTAGTTTAATTGAGGTGTGCATTTCATGGCCGAGTCAGTACTTGCAGTATCGGGAGTTTCCCTTGCTTCTAGTCCAAAGTACCTTTACAAAAGGGACTTTCTGGTAAGACAGTCCTATATCTGGCCTTTTTCTGACAGCACATGAATGCACAGCAACATTGCCATGTTTCCTGGTTTGATTCACACTAGGCTGAAAACATACACATTTGGCAAGCTCCTGTGGGTGAACACCAGCTATGTGGGATTCAGTCACATTAGATAATACTACATCACAGTAGATCCTTGGCACAGAAGGGTTTTCAAACATTTGTGCTGCTTACACTCTTTGACCTTGAAGTTGCATGCTCCATGTATCAGAGTATTCCATGTCTGAATGTACAGTATTCAGTATCCTGCATGGATTCTTTCAGTCTGTTACTGTGTTTAATTGCCTATAACTATGCTAGCAACTCTGAGACTATAAGCTTTGAGCTTGATGCAATCATTAAACAATTAAAATCCAACATGTTGATGTTTACCACGCTAATATTTATATCATTGATTTGCAGGTAATTTAGCCGTACACTAAAAGTCTTGACCTAATCATAGTGGGACAGCCAGGGGGTCACCAAAGTTATTCCAAATCACTCCAAGTGGTACGTGAATGTGGGCACCACATTTCAGGGCAACATTCAGCAGCTGAGATACGTCACTGTGGACCAAATTAGTGCATGCTGCTACATGACTAAAGAAATGATAGCACTGGGTGACAAGCACACATATTCAGTGAATCCTAAATGTTCTAAATGGTTTCATGTCATCCAGCACCAGTGAACACAACAGCTCATGCCCACGTTTTTGGCCATTCTGGATCTGCCTGTGCTGGAACTGCCCGGCTGGGAACGAGGAGCACTTTCAGGTCATCTCATGCTGTCAATTAGTTACATGCTAATAACTTTGGTTCTGAAGAGCAAAGTGTCATGAATGAGAATGTGGATCATAACCTGGATCATAATCATGTCTTTAATACAAATTTAACAGAATGAAGCTTAAACAATGATTTTAGATAGCATCCAAATATGTAGCATGTAAAAAACTACAAAGAATTTTAACTGTGCTTTTATTTTCTGTTTGGCAATATACATCATTTACATTCAAATTTCATAATTCGCACGCATGCACACAAAACCAGCCATAAGTGTACACGTATCCCCAGCAGCAACCGTCCTGAAAAATGTATGCTCCAGATGTACACACACACACAACCATGTAACCGCATAATGGGAGAGGTCATCATCTGTGTGATTGGTGACCAGTAACATCATTGCCTGTGAATCCCCCAGAGTCTCTGGACACCCTCCAACCTACAAGAGATCAATACTGTATTATAGGATATTCCTGATGTGGTAACACAGCATCTTTTTCTGTCAAAACACCAGTTTGAAAACATGAAGTTAGCACAATTTTGTATTTATAATCTACAGGGAATGGGGGATCGCGCTCAGTTGCAGTTCCTTCCGCAAAGTTAGTATTTTAGCATTTTATTAAGATGTCAGAATACTTAGTGTTACCAGGTTAGAATACCCTGGATCTAACCTTCAGGTATTTATTATGACCTTAGAAATTTGCAGTTGTGTTTGTGTCAAGTGTTCCCTTACATTTGGACAAACAAAGTACTGGTGCGTTGAAGAAATCCAAGTGAGAGAGCAGTTACGGTGCCAGGGTTATGAACCCTCAAACAGTCACATCTGTGTGGATCAATTAGGCCAACGCCACCTCTAGAAGCTCCTCAGTAATGGACCTGCTCCCACCACTCCCTCTTATGTAACAACACGCCTACATGGAGGCAAACATGCTGAGCCCTGAACTTTAAATAGTCTCATGTCCAACCTGAAATATTCATCACCTAATACCGCAGGGCACATTTGAAGGTACAGGGCTCATTTCCACATGAATGAAATGACTGCCATTGTGCAACAGCACTCCTGGTGTGTCAGGGCATTAAGCATCAGTCAGCACAGGTCACCCTGCAAAGTATTGCTATGTGGGTCTGACTTACTGCTCATTTAATAACTGTAATTCCATCAATCTTGGGATCTGGTTTAACGTTGTCCTGGGTTGTTTGCATTCCAAGGAGACAGTGAAATGTGTGTGGAGGGTTGACAGCTACAGTAAGTCCCATAAACCTCATAAATTGTGCACTTTTTATCCGAGTCAGGTTATTTATTACTTCATGCAGGAATGGTTGAATGACTGACATCATTGGAACTTAGCATCAATCAGCAGCACAAGCATTATCCAACTGCACAGAATACTGAACGAGTGCAAAGAGTTATGTGAGCATATACCTCTGTGAATGAAACACTCTGCCAAGCTTATCTTCAGTAATCTTCCTGGAAGCAGAGAGTTAATGCAAACTGGCCTGTTACTAGACAGCTTTCTGTTTCACTCCATATCAATCATGGCCCCAGTTTCCCACTAAAATCCAATTTTTGCTTTCATTTTTAACCTAGTTTTTTTTTATAAATATCATGCTCTGCCAATAATGTCCACTACCTATATCTTCAAAGTGGTTCTTGATATTGTCAAGAACATTTTAAAGTGACCACTTTAAAATGTTTACCCCTATGAGCACCTTTTGTCAGCTCTGTTCCTGGGATACCTGGCCTTGACCAGCTGGTTCGCCTGGACAGAAATGTTATCTGGAAGGCAGGACAATGAAGGGAAAGGTTGGTCCAGGGATAAAAGGTGGAAGGATGTATGGAAGCCCAGAGGGGACGCAGCAGAATAAAAAGTGACGAGAGCATCTTTTGTATGGCCTTGAAGTACTTTTACTTTCTTTTTTGTTCAGTTCCCTCTGGGCTTCACCAACTATAGTTGGCCAACAGAGAATGTTGTCGCAATGCTCGGAGTGACGGGATGTTAAAGCAAAAGGCATCAAAGGGATGGATAAGAGGATCAGAGGAGGAAAGGAAAAGGAAGGAAGGCATGGTGTAACACGGAGAAAACTGAGCCAGTGAGACAGGATGAGCTGGCAGAGGAAGTGAGAGGATGATGGTGAAGAAAAGAAAAGAAATTGGAGGGAGCAATGGGGAGCAGGTGGAGCAGCTGGCATGGGGCTAATGGCTCCTCAATCACTGTGTCTCCCCCCTCTGGTGGGAGGTCAGAGGAGCCGACACCTCCTCTTCCCACACTGCTTCTCTCTCCTCCCTGTACTTTGTCATACTTCCAGGCTGTTATGTAATAAAGCTGGAGGAGGAATGAAGGGAAGAAAGAAGAGTTGGGTGAATAACTTATTAATTGATAAAGTAAGGGCAGTGAAATGACTGCACTGTTTTTCTATGGTTTAAACATTACTATCACTCACTCATTCGCCAGTCATTTACCTGTGTACTACAGAGTTTTAAGTTTTAAAGCACTTCACAAACTTCCAGGTGATCATGGCGTGCTGTGAGGCACATAAGATATTCATCGACATGTTTAATTTATTTATAGACACATATATATGCGCACAACCCCTAAGTTGGGTATTTACTGGTATTTTTAAGAATGAATAATTCTAAAATATTCATGACTCAAGAAGCAACACCAAGACTTTTGTTTTATTTACTGTGTTTATGCATTTGATTGCCAATGCCTATAACTTAGGCAAACAACCACACAACTTATTCCAGTGTTGCTAAATTTTGATGAGCATGGGAGTAAGTGATGACCTTTTTTCAAATGAGGCCAGTCGACTTCAAACTGGTGAAGAGAGCAGGAAAAACAACAAAAGTACAGCAGGCTCGGACGTGGGAAAATCAAAACTATTAGAGCTTTGACAGATAATTTTGTGCTCACAATGGACCATAATCACACCATAGTGCATGAGTGTGTGTGTGGCCACGAGAAACCCGGGCTCAACACACAGGAAACCACTGCTATAGTGACAACTGCAACAAAAGTGAGACATGATCAGGTTTTGGAAGGTTCCGTCTCCAAATAGATTAAGGAAAAGGCAGGGATGGAAACAAATCACAAAAGAGCTGAAGAAGATTTAAGCATATTTAGAAGAAGCAGGAAGAAAAAAAAATGCATTGAGCAAGTGACGGAGGTGCTGGTGAGACTGCTGGATCGTGTTACTTGGAGAGGAGGACAAACCCAAAATCAGCCAGGAAGACAGAGACAAAAAGGAAAGCAAAACGGAAGCTATTGATTCTCAGTGTGTTCGTCAGAAAGCTGTGAAGTAGGAGCTGGATTCCCTGAATTTTACCCACTGTAATTAACACTGTTGGAGGAAAATTTTACTCCTCTCTGTGCTCTGGAGCAACTCTTTCTCTCTCTCCAACTTTCCCCAGTGCTTGCTAAAGCTCTTTCTCATAGGACAGAAGAAAAATTGGACCTGAAAGGAAGACCAGGAAAACTTTGAGTGAGCTGCAGCACTCGAGAAGGAAAATCTGTAAAAGTCAGATGAGGAGAAAGGTAAAAGAGCAGCAGAGTAGGCTCATGAGGAGGAGAATAAGATTGTGAGAAATAACAAGGAGAGAAGAAGCTGAGGGAAGGGGATACAAAAGACGGAAAGCAGAGACAAGAAGAGCGCAGTGAAACAACAGAATGGCAAAAGGATCAAATAGGACAAAAATTAATGGACCTAGATGGAAATATATTGGTTTCAGAGGTTGACAGCTGGCAAAGGGGGAATTTAAAGGGAATAAATAAGATAGAAAAATGGGGAGATGTTAAAAAAGTTAGATAAGAAAAGGTTACTTTGTTACAAGGTGGGGTGAAAAGATGAAGCGCACCAGAGATAAGAAGAGAACAGAGGAAAAGACAGATGGACTGAAAGGAAGACGGATAAAGGCAGGGTTATGGAGAGGAAAGCCTGGGGGAAGAAGAAGTTAAATAACCAATGAGTTGGTTTTCTTGTCAACAGGGTCAATGACCACCAGGGAAATCAGGCATGAAGCCCAGCTACACCTCATTGAATCTACTACATTATAGTCTTTAAAGCTCATTTTTACAACACAAATGACAGCGTGTAGATGGAGAGAAGCTCCATCTTTTGTTGCCAGTGCAAACCAACCTGTTTTCTACAACTTAAGAGTCATCTCACTGATCTCAGTAGCACAATGTTATTCCAGATTCCTACAACAGTGATTGAAAAAGGATGACTAAAGTATTCATCATTACAGTAACGACCTCTTTGGTATCCCACCACCTGCAAAGAAATGCCAGACTGAACCTAAACATAAGAAAATGAGTGTTTGCTGAGAAGTGGCTACAGGAGGTTCCAGGGCTCCAAATAGATGATGACAGCACAGTGATGTGGTGCAAGACATGCCGTGAAAATCCCAGTGCTGCAGACAAAAGCAGCGCTTTTGCAAAGTTTACAACTGATGCAGTGATTGTGTATGATGTACCTTCATTCATGGTCTTCTTCAGCAGATGATTTAGCCAAATTAATATAAACTAATATATAAACAATACACCAATTAAGACCATGAAACGTGATTAAAACCTCGAAAAAAAAAACAACTAGTAAGTTGTTTTTTCAGACCACACTCTCCAAATTCATTAACTAATCATTAAAGTAATAATTCTGTATTTCCAAAGATGTTGTAGGTTGTTTACAGTCACATGACTGTTCAGACACACAAAACTCGACGGAGCGCAGGAAATCAAAAACAGGATGAAGAGATGGAGGAAGGTCCATACTGTATTAGCTTTAACAATATTATGAGAAACAGAAAATCACAACATTGCTGAATATGACCCTTGTGTTATGAAAAGGAGCCATTTTTCAACTGAATTAAACCAAATAGCCTGCTACTGAGGCCCATACTCCACTGTCCTGTGACAAAGGGATTATGTCTATGGTCCTGTGGATTAATCTAGCAACAGACATTCAATGTGCGGTGGATCTCAACATTAACTTAATGTAGGTTAAGTGCTCTCCAGGGTCCACTGACACACCACTAAAGACACTGGATCATCATAAAACAGGACAGAGAAGTCACTGCAGCTTATTGCAGTGTAGTAGTTGGCTAGTTACATAAGTGGTCACTGCACACAGGAGCATTATTAGCCCACGCTGCTCCTCCCGAATCTAGACAAAGGCTTGCAAGCTATTTTTGCAGGTGTTATGCCAGAGTGCATTTCCCTCTAGCAACTTAACTAATCATTAAAAAGTATTAGTTCAACATTTTGGAAATCCACTTCTTTGGTTAGACTGGTGAAAACACTGACACCTCTCTACTACATATCCATAACACTAGATATGAAGCTACAATCAGCAGCCAGTTAGCTTAGTTTAGCATAAAACTTCAAAATGGGGAAATCAGCCAGTGGCTGCTACTCAGTATCACTTAAGTTGTCATATCCACATATTATAAGGGACACACTCAGAGATATGGGAAGGATAAACACACAAGTGCGTATACATACCATAATGTTATAAACATAATATACATGTTCAAAAAACACAATATAATGTATATACACTTGAAAGAACACACACACACAAATTCTGATAATTATGAGAACATAAACACTGCAGGCAACCCTACTCACCAACACACACTGCGAGTGCTGCTCTAGTGACCAGGTTGTTTACTGTATTCTATGCACATAAGAAATTCAAACTCCACAGGAAGGGATTCAGCTGCATTACAAAGTGTTGTTTTAGGGTAGAAAAAAAATTCAAAGCAGGCTCAGGAGATATTGTTTCCAATGTACAGTATTCTTAAAGCTCTCTCTCTCCCTCTCCAGCAGAGGAATTCTCCCTACTGTCACTGCCATGTTTCTCTGACCTCTGGTATAGCAACAGCCAGACTATTCTTTCTAAATCACCTTCACCCAATTCCTCCCTCCTTCACTCTTTCTTTTTTGCACACCTCCTACAGTATTCCTGACTTGGACAGATTTACTGTACAACAGGGAGGATGAAATAGGGGACAGCTGGAAAGCAATTGTCTTTTTGTGCCACGAGGAAGCACTGTGAGCATTTAGGAGAAAGAATGATGGCTCTAACACCACTCCCCCCTCTGATTTTTTTTTTTTTTTTTTTGCAGTGCAGTTCAACTTGATTCCTGTGGGGCTCAGGATAGTGGCCATCCAGAGCACCAAGACAAGGCTCTACGTTGCCATGAACAGCGAGGGCTACCTCTATACTTCGGTACGGTCAGCACATACATTACACCAACGCCTTTCAAGGTCTAACTTGTGACTTCATTACAGCAGAGCTATTTCACTGCAGAAGAATGGAACAGGCTTATACATTTATTATTTATTCCTACATTAGAGGTGAAATCAACACAGTGTTTGGCCCTCCAGCAGCAAAAGGTAATTCACATAGTATTGGAAAAAGTGCAAAATATTATTACATTTCTCTGAAGTTCCTGAAACTCTCATCTTCAAAAATCTACTGTAACTGTAGAAGCAATCTACTATTTAATCAAAGATAAATATAATCAGTCTAGGAATCAGCAGCACCCAATCTGTAAAATACACATTGTGTATTACTCTATTCTAACTGTGGCGTGTGCATTTTGCACAAGTTGCTAAAACTACCAAATATCCAGAAAAATGCAACCAGTGTCACCTGGGACAGAATAAGATGGTATATGCCATATATCTCAGTAGTAGTGTAGTTTTAGCTTTTGACATCAGTGTCACAACATTTGGGGAAACTGCTCTGATGCTGTGAACTATTATTTCCACTGGCATCAAGTATTTAATAAAGCCATGTTCTCTTCTAAAGATTTGTTGTTCTAAACAAACGGGTGTTTCGAAAATTACCATTTGAATTTAAACAATCATACAGTACTATGACAATTTTCAGCATATGCCCTATTGTTATGATTTTACCTAATGTCCAGTTCACACACCTAAGTATATTACTGTGATAAATACATGCACGACTGCAGCACACAACATGTTGTGCACAGTACATTCAGAGATCAAGCCTTTGGACTCCAACCAGACTTCTTTGTACTCGCACATTGACAGTGACACCTTCAACTTCAAATGCCAGCACGCATCTGTGCATGAAACGGTTTTCAGCTCTCAGTCAGAGCAGCACTTGCATGTTACATCTTTCGCAACAGCTCAAAGATGTTTCCTGAAAGTTGTTTCTGATGTGCAGTGAGATGCAGCAGAAACAGATTGGAGAGGTAGATGGAGTAGTAGATGAAGAGAAAAGGATGGATCAGAGTGCACCCTCAGGAGGCAGAAGAAAGGTATCCCCCACCTGACCTACTCCTCTTGGCACACGGGCAGAGTATCTGAGCTCTTTTGTAGTGCATAGGTGCACTCGCTTCAAAGTCAATCTAATTCTGGCTGCATGGGTACTGTTGGAGATGAAGAAGGGAGATACAAATGGAATAAGTGAAACTGACCCTGGATGGAACACGCATACACAAAGTTCCCCCTTCTGCTGCTGCATATACAGTATGTGAACATTATCCTATTGAGACACAAACATGCACAGCGCCTAATGTCTGTGAACAGCCAAACACAAATAGCAGTGGGACCCAACACAATTCTTCAGTTGTCCCTTCTTGGTCCTGAACACGCATAACATGATATAAAATAGTTGGCAAGTCTGGCAGACCCAGTTCTTGTTGGCTCCTGCGTTTTGTTACTTTGATTTCAACAAGGAGAATGTCACATCAGTGAATGTAGAAAAACTCAAGCAATAAAAGTACAGTTTGAGTCGTATGATTCGGTGGGGAGAGCGGTTGTCTCCCAACCAGAAGGTTGGAGGTTGGAATCGTGGTGCCTGCAGTCCACATATTGAAGTGTCCTTGGGCAAGACACTGAACTCCAAGTTGCCCCTGATGGTTAGAGCCATTGGTGTGACTTGGTGCTGCAGATGGCTGCCTCAGTTCTGTGCTGGAAACAAATTCCTTGTGTTTGTGTGTGTGTGTGTGTGTGTGTGTGTGTGTAACATACTTGGCCAAATAAAAAGGTGATTATTATGATTATTTTTCAACCTGGGTGTTACTCCCATAATTATAGCCTTTTTGACAATAGGCCATGCTAAACATCTGGAAAACAACGTAAATCAGGGCCGGCAGTTGTTTCTGTTTTCTAAATAAACTTACATTTAATCATTTCAAATGCTTGACTCCAAGTGCAAGCATTTAAAACCTTGCATGCACACACAGATATACAGTAGGAGGTTATATTTACACAGGCGTTCGAGACAGAAGAAAGGTGACCCATTTTCACTAAAGGAAAGAACCACAGGGAAA